GTTTTCTGTATTGATGTTGAACAGAAATAACTTAAAACAGGAATCCTATCGACAGAGGTTTTAAAACGTGCCACTATTGTTGACGGACAGACAGACGGACGGACAGACGGACAAGTGAGCGATTGCAAAAGCTCACCATGTGAGCTAAAAAGTGGGTATTTGGCTAGTTCAGTTGTCCATTTGAGGCTTTAAGGCTGAAGAAAAGGTCAAAATGCATGTTCTGTTGCAAACCATTCCTAGGATAAAATGTAAGCTTGACTACTGATTAAATGTGTCTTTTGTACCTGTATTTTCAGAGTGAACAAAAAAAACAACTAAACATCATCATGGCCAGAAAAAGCTTAACATGGACAAGAGACAAACAAGAATACTACATGAATTATTGAAGCACAAAGGATAAAGACTGAAGTCATTCAACAACTATTTTCTTGAACTTAAATAAAATTAGTAAATTCTCAGAAAGGATGGATTAATTGAGGACCTATTATGGAATAATGATTACTGATTCAATGTATATGGTAACTGTGTAAACATATACAATATACACCACCCTACAAGAGGATCAGTTAAAACTCATTTTGATAGTTATTCCTTGATCCTTAAAAATCATCCTTATCGTAGGGGGTAAAAAAGGAAGAATATATTCTGGATTTTGAAGCCCTGTGATCGGAGGATGTTAAATATGCTCTTACTGAAGTTTCAGACTCTAAAAGGGTAGTTATCCCAATGGACATTAGTTTGGTACATTTTCTGGAATCCACTTTTTGCAACTGTAGATTATTTCATTTGCTAATGAATAAAGATTTATTAGATGATTGAAGCTTAAATGTCACCTAATTTGTTCTTAGTCACTCTATTCTGTCACCTGACCACATTTAAAAGGGATACAGGCTACATTGAATTTGCAAATCGAGCGGATCTTCTTTAATTTTTTTGTCATTTGGGGCTTCTCTTGTAATAATATAAAACAAGTGCAAACTGCTCAATGAACCTATGTACAATGTATTGTAGAATACTTGGGATGTAAAATCGAGAATACCTTCAGAAATATTGAAATAAGAAAACAAGTGAACAACCTCCATTTGCAACTTCTCTGAAGCCTGTATCCCTTTTCACGAAATACTGGCCACAGTATAGTGATAGAGTAGTGTTAGTCAGATATCCCTCTTCCACCTCACTTTGACTTCAATAGAGATAAGTGACTGGGGAGTAATGCACAAAAAGTAACTGATTAATGGAAGTAGTGACAAATTATTTCCACTTGCTAGATATGATCCTGCCATAATGGAGGTTGTACGCATAATCACAGGAGACAGGCCAAAGGATATTCCCAAGAGAAGATCCTTTGCATTATTTCAGGAAATGTTGCAGTCACTAATTTGTTTGATTATCAATGTTTCCTATAGAGAAAATGGTAAAACAGGTGTCAATAAACCCCTCTTTTAGCCCCTCCCCCAATGCAAAACAAGTATACTGTATATGGGCGTATAATTCAAAAGAAAGTATGATTTCTAAAAAATGTTAACATTGGAATGTTTAAATGTCAACTTTGTACAAATTTTCCCACTTTCTATTAAAAGAAATGAAAGCAATTGGTTTAATTTTGATTGAAACTGATAATAAGACATGTAGATGGAAATAAAAAAAACATTATAAATAAGATTCTCAATGGCAATTATGTGAAAATCGTAAGATAAAATGCCCATATGGGCATTTTCTATGGACACTGTATATTCGTGTTTCAAAATTAATGGTCTTCCCTTTTGAGCCTCTTCCAATATTCTTAGCTTTAAGAGTTATTATCCCATCGAACGAAGTTCGGAGGGATATAGGGAACGCCTCAGTCCGTCTGTCCGTCCGTCCGTCCTGGCAATAACTGAAATACCGTTAGCCCGATTTTGTTCATATTTTGTACACATATACCCTATGGGGGTAGAAGTTCTGCTAGAAAGCCGATTTTCAAAATGGCCGCTCATTTAAAAATGGCGGCCATTTTAGTGCCAATTTTACAGTAATTTAGGTGCAATATGTAAAACTGTAATAGCAATATGTTTTAAATGTAAAAAAATTATATAGGACATTAATAAAGCTAGAAATGTAGATATTGAAGGAGCACATGGCCGCCATTTTGAAAAATGGCGGCCTTTACTCGCTATTTTAACATATTTTACTATAACTCGAAAAGTAGTAGAGCGATTTTGTTCATATTTGGTATGTGAATACTATAAGCATGGCACGCTGTCTAATATCACTTTTGGTAGAAGGCGGCCGTTTTGAAAAATGGCCGCCATTTTGAAAAATGGCCTCAATTTTAACGTATTTTACTATAACTCAAAAAGTAGTGGAGCGATTTTGTTCGTATTTGGTATGTGAATACTATAAGCATGGCACACTGTCTAATGACACTTTTGGTAGAAGGCGGCCATTTTGAAAAATGGCCGCCATTTTAACGTATTTTACTATAACTCAAAAAGTAGTGGAGCGATTTTGTTCATATTTGGTATGAGAATACTATAAGCATAGCACACTGTCTAATGACACTATTGGTAGAATGTGGCCATTTTGAAAAATGGCCGCCATTTTAACGTTTTTTACTATAACTCGAAAAGTACTGGAGCGATTTTGTTCATATTTGGTATGTGAATACTATAAGCTTGGCACACTGTCTAATGTCACTGTCTAATGGTAGAAGGTGGCCATTTTGAAAAATGGCTGTTATTTTTGCTATATACTTGTACTTTGTTTGTAAATATGCCAGCCATGGCTGTTCGATGGGATTCGCTATGCTTTGGCGTTGCCGTTGTTCTGGTTATTTTTAAATGCCCATGGGCAATAAAGAGAAAATGATCACAATTAAATGCACATAAGGGCACTTCAATGAGAATGGATTTTATTATTTCAATTATCTCGCCAGTTTTCGAAACATGTTTGCCATACTCTAAAAGAGTTATACATTTATAGGCTCACTTCTGATAAATGCCCATTGGCCATTGGCGTTTGATTTTAATCAAATCACCGTATTGGCACTTTATTTTAAGTTATTTGCCAATTTTGAGTTCCCGTAATTGAATGCACTCCATTGTTCACGTAACATATTTCTGGATGATGCATTTATTTGATAAACAGTGTGGTGGACGAAAATTTACTCAATAATGATATATTCACATTACAACATACACAGGCTGTGACAAAGTAAGGGGGGCGTGTAAACATAAAACAATAAAATCATGCCAAGAGTAAAAATGCACAGCAGTCAACTCTTTATCCTTTGACGTTTAACGGTAAAGTGATTGTTGTAATCATTGTCTCAAGTACCATATATTTGTATTTTTACGGAAGTGTCGACCCAATGACTATATTTCTGAATTATTATATCAATATGTT